GACTGGACAAGGCTGTAATTGGATAGGAATTAAGGGTTAATGTCCCGCCTCGAGGTGAATATGGTGTGATAAAGTCTTGTCAGTTGCTATAACCACCGAATAAAGCCACCAAGTATGCTGAGGTCACAATTGCAACACGGTGCCCGGCTGGGCAGCTTTTTGGGAACGAAAATACGGTAAAATGAGGAACAAAATACACGAAAAGTGGTTAATAATAATCATCGGCACTATTTATGTATATTCTTGAAACAACAGCCCGGCTGGGCCACGATACGGACTGATCAAGTGAAACTCGCTATTTTGTTCGTCCAAACAAGTAGGGTAAACCTCCTTCATTTCTTAGTGTAAACTTTTACAGAAGGACATAAACATAGCACTTTCTTTTGTTTAAACAATCCATCCTTACAACATTTGTTTGAGTATATTCTCCATACAAACTTGCCTTCATGTCATTGCAAATTCCAGATCAGTGAGTTCAGCGAGCATATCATTACCAAACAGATAGCACAAGGCTAGAGAAATGCCTGTAATTGGCAAAAGTACAGAACACATCTTTTCAATCAACTGTCCACTCATACTCTGTAGTCAGGAAATACAACGTTCTTGTACCTTATACTTTTTTTATTATGACATGACCACATCACCGTTGAATAGCGTTGTATGAGAGCACAGGGAAAATAGGGCACAGTTCGATTCAGTCGTTTCACTGTCATTATGAGAGAAAGTCACAATCCACATAAATGCCAAGAATATAGATACTTTGTGACACAAAAACTCCGTGTTTTGAGAACAGACTTAAAAGATGCTAAGGTACTCCTGTCTGCAGACTGGGCATGTAGACGATTGTACCTTGAGGCGCCTCCCACACGGCCGACAGAGGCAGCAGTGCCGGCATGGCCAGACGACAGACACTGGGGGGTTCTCCAGACACACAACGCATGTTTCGCTGGTGAATACGTTCGGCTCAGAAGTCGGGCCTAAAGGGGAACAATGTATAAGATTTACAGTAGGAAATAGTTGTCGGGACACAGAAGTCATTACCTTCTCTTCTCAAACGGAAAACGAGAACATGCAGTTATGCTGAGGTCACAATTGCAACACGGTGCCCGGCTGGGCAGCTTTTTGGGAACGAAAATACGGTAAAATAGGAACGAAATACACGAAAAGTGATTAATAATAATCATCGGCACTATTTATGTATATTCTTGAAACAACAGCCCGGCTGGGCCACGATACGGACTGATCAAGTGAAACTCGCTATTTTGTTCGTCCAAACAAGTAGGGTAAACCTCCTTCATTCCTTGGTGTAAACTTTCACACAAGGAGTGAACACATTTCCAAAACGGGGCCTTTTTCGATTAAGATAAGAAATCAACAACTTATATCAATATTATGCCCATGGTTAATTTTTTTAATTTTTATATGCTTCGTTGTCTTTCATAACATACTTTTCGTTCCGCTAGCCTGCCTCGATCGGCCCAGTTTGGAAATGTAACCGAAAGATAACTGAGTGTACGTGTGCTCGAAAAGGAAAGCAAGAAACACACAAAAGTCGTATTTTATCCTCTTGAAGACACGGAAAACACACGCACACATAAACGTAACCAAAGATAACACAAATAAAGGTACGAATGTAATTTAGAAATTGTAAACAACATCTACCAACAGAAAACATCTAAGAAAGCAAAACCAGTATAACAACCCCGTAAAGCGGCAACAGTGAAATGTGCTTTAAAGTAATGCCAAGGTCACAGTTTCAAACCAGGGCCCGGCCGGACTGTTTGGATTAGCGAAAAATCGACAATTTATATCATGAATATACGCAGATTGTTAATATTTTCAACTTTATTGTGCTTGGTTTTCATTTATATCATACTTTTCTATGCATATGACTGCCCGGCCGGGCTCCGGTTTAAAAATGTGACCTCAGCGTAAGAAGGGTTGTTTAGGCTCCCATTCCACTTTTGCTGAGGTCACAAGGAAATGCAGAAATGTTTTCGATAATATTCATGGGCACTATTTCTGTATATTCCCGGCCTGGCCCCGTTATGGAAATGTGATTTCAACATAAGTGGCGCCCTGAAATTGGCCTGAGCTCCGAACTTCACGCCGAACTCTCTGTGGGACCCAAAACTCAAGTGTTAGCGACGTTCATGGGCGACCAACGAATTCATAGCTAAATGAAAAAATAACGGAAATAGAGAACAAAATTTTGTACATTTAGTTTGTTTCGTTGTTTTTACAGACATTCTTTTACGTGCTGCATCATATTCAAGCTGTAAAATCAAGGGTGTAAGACCCACATATCTACATGAATGACGGCGCTCTTACTGCGCTCTCCCACTTTGCGACCTGAAATTTTGGGAGCGCGGGGGGTTACCGGAAGGCTGATTGTTTTGCAAATTAAGAAAAATAACGTGGGGGACATTTTTCCCCGTAACCTGGAATCCATCCGTAAACGCTTTATCTCCGCTCCGTTCCTCCGCTCTGCCGGATGGATTCCAGGCTATAATCCTTTGGGTGCGAATCGATCGCGACCTTTTAGACTATCTAAAGACCTTTTCATCTGTTCCGTATATATGGGCCCAAGCTCTTAAGTTACACAAAAAAAACTCCGAAAATGTGTGCTGTAATTAGAGATTTCATTGTCCATAATCTCTAAGTCGTGATTTTCCGAGTTTTTAGTCGTGATTGAAGAGCCCGGGCTTATTGATTGATTCGCAGCCAAAAGGTGTCCGTCGATTTAGATGGAACTTTTTAAACAATAGAATCTCTTACCATACGGGCATGAAGCTTCATGCAGTGCAATCTCCGCCGGCCTCATAATGTGCACGGCACTGTAGCGGCAGACGGCCAGGTCGGGCCTAGTGTAGTTCTTGAAATGTAAAATTGAGAAGAAAAGTGTTTAAGGATCAAGAAAAAAAGTTGCAATAGCATACAAGAGCATTGAGTGACCTGTTGTAAACGTTACTAATACAACTTAAGTTGATTACAAGATTTCCCTTTTGCTGCATGCATTATGCCATTAAGGATATGGCAATGGGCCTCTCCTCCTGTGTTTAATCTTGTATCAAACCCAGTCCTTGTGTGCAAATTTACACCAAAGAGGTTTAAAAATTTTTTAAGATGAACAAACTAGCGTGCTCCACTTGTTCATACCATTTTGCAGAAGTCAAACGGGGCAATAGACTCAATACATGTCGCAATCTGTATCCAAAAGGGAAAATCAAGCCAGATGTTTATTTACAGACACAAGATATAAGAAGAACTGACCTTCCTGCACTTTAGAATGTGTCTGAGCAATCGATTGCTCTGAACAATGTGACTATGGTCATATGGGCACACGACGGATTGCCCGGCTCCAGAAATAAATCGCACAGGTCGTGAAGCCATCACCTAAAAGAAGACAAAACATTTTTTTTAATTTTCATTGTGGTGTAAACTTACACAAACTTTTACAGATGTCAAGTTACTAATTAACTTTGGTAAGAACCCGGTCCCTAAGGACGAATTGGGCGGTCTTGTCTTCTCATGCAGGTGGGTGGGCTAGTATTGGCCAGGATGGGCAGGGATGGACAAGGATGGACAGGGATGGGCTAGAATGGAAGGGAATGGGTATGGGTGGGCATGGATGGGCTAGTATGGGCCAGGATG